AGCCTTACTCCAGCTCTTACTCCAGGAAAAGGGAAAAGAGCAGGGGCTGCTCGTTTGATATTATTCTCTGGTGATCAAAGAGACAGGGAGTGGTAGATACGTACCTACTCCCTAACTGCCATGGGGTACAGAATGATGGAGGAGAACAGTAGTTAGTGTTTTTGTGACCTGGATGGAGAAAGATTGACATTCCCACTCTAGAATATAAGAGGTAGCTTCAAGTATTTCAAAAGACAGACATACTTTGTATACATGTATATTTTAAAGAAATTACAAAAATACGCTGTATTGTTTCTTTAAACCTGTGGCATAAAGTCATGTAGGATGGGCAGGAGATGGTACCACGTTCTTTGATTGGTATTAATTCTTCCAAACCAAAGGACCCTCATGTTCAGTATTAATAGCTCTGGGCAGTCTGTGTGAACAGGAAGATAATGTTACTGTTTTGGAATGGCTTTAAAAGGGTTCCTGAAGTATTTCAAGAAATTCCTGAAGAATACAGTAGTTTATTTCCAATACACGAGGCACTGATCAAGGCTATTCCTGAATAGGACTTCAGGACTAAGTACAGACAATCAAAAAGCCCAAAGCTGAATCGTTTCAATCTTTGCAGGTTAGTCTAAACTGCATAGATTGAACCAATAAGCAAGTGAACAGACATTCACTTTTGATTTCAGAAATGCAGCCACATGCCTGCAGTGGCCCAGGCCAGAAGCTGGGGAGTGCTACAGCATACCTCCCTGCTTAGCTGCAGCAGACAGTTTGGGCCATGGCTAGACTGCCCACCCTGCAAGGCGAGGGGGATGGGGAGGGGGAGTTGGCTGGAGAGGTGCAAAGCATCCTGGGATGCTGGGAGACTGCAAGATAACTTGAATCTTGAATCTGGGACAGGAGTTCAATAAACTGATTTAACGTAAATCAGTGAAGTATGATACCGCATCTATCCAGGTTTATCTTAAACTGGTTTCGGCCATTTTGAAAGTGTTTTATGTGCACTGCTGTTGTGTTACATATTTGAACCAGTTCCTAATCGCTTATACCATTTTATATGTAATTTCTGTCCCTAGCCAAAATGGGAAGATGCTGTTATTACTTTTTTAATTATTATTTTTATACAGTATATTTAGTGTGAAGATCAAGATACGAGTTCCTTTCATACTTTCTGGTTCTCTAGTGAAAGCCAGAAGTGCTAGGCACAAATGACATTTTTTCTTGGTTTAGTTCCTCCTATTTCAAGGCAACTGGATCATTCCAGCAAATCTGACCTGCTGAATGTACAATGAGGAGACTTATATTTAATATATACTAAAGTTATTATTGAACAAAGATTTTCAAAAATCAGAGCCAGCTGTGGAGATCTTTTTTCCTAACTACACATCCATTAATTTAAAATGAAATCTTTATATTTAACATAGAATCTATTGCCTCTCTGTGTTAGATTTAGCAAGATTGACTTAATCTGATTGGACTAGAGTGTGAGGCCTGAATGCCAGGCATAAAAAATAATCATTGTAGCCTCTCAAAACTCTGCAGTTCATTGCCCTAGTTAGATGGACTCAACTTTCCAGGAAAGAACAGATCTAATCTACCAGTCCAGGCAAAGCCTTTCAGTGAGACTGGAATAAATCTCTCAAATGCAGGCAGGTCTTACACTAAAACAGGATGTTAAGTATATTCCAGTTCTGGATATAGTAAATTTTCCAAAGCTGGGCATGCTTTATGTCCCCTGAGATCTGCATCCACCAAGGTGTAGTCAATCAGCAGTTATGCTCTGTGAAGGCCCACTCTATCACACATGCTTAAGTGCTTTGCTGGATCAAGGCCTACATGTCTCTTACCATCAATGTGAGTGAGGTCACAATACAACTGGATCCAGAACCCAAAGACAAACATGGAAATGCTCACTTCTCAATTATAAAAAGGTGATTTTAAAATAGGACCAATTTTCCTTTTCTTCCTTCTTCATAGTACCTGCTATACAATGATCCCTTTAGAGAGACAGTACAGAAGTAGCATGGGCTTGGGGCAAATGGTGTAGGTCCTTGCATTCTGAATAAGGGTGCCACCTGTGGGTACCCTCTTCTCTCTGGGCAACTAATGACCATCAGCCACAAGGTATAGAGTTGGCAAACCCTATTTGGAGCTGGGACTACTGATAGGAACTGTCAGTCAAGACCTCTTTGGCTGGAGGTGGTACTGATGGTCTGCATAGTGTATTAAGCACTCATGGTCATTTGGGCTAGCTATGTGTTGAGGCTGAGGAGTCTCTGCAGCCTTCCCTTAAATCCACTGGGAAGCCCTGAGCTGGCGGACGGTGCTGTCCAGCTCCTATGGGTGTTAAGCACTGATGGACATTTGGGGCAGGCAACAGTCAAGGCCCCTACGTCTTCACCACCGCCCCTTAAGACCTTCAATCTGAAACTGGGATTTGTCAGACACCTGAGCTGAGGGTGGTGCTGCCCCAATTCATTGCACAGGATAAGCACAGTGGCCAGGCAATGGATTCATGGCTTGCCTAATCCATCTTTCCCCACTTAAGGCCCATGAGAGGGACAGACCCAACCAAAACTGAGCTAGAAGTGGTGCTGTGTAGTTGGCTGAAATTTGTCAAGCACCCTGCTTTGCCTACTCTGGTGACAGGTTTCGTATCCAAATCTGACTATCTCTCGCTGTTCTGCGTTTTCTCTTTCCTGTCACTTCCTGTCCAAGTTGCCCCCTCCCACTGCACTATTTTTCCCTAC